ATCCTAGTGCATAAATTGATAAAAGATTTTCTTTAGTACTTTTAAATTCAACCTCCATATTATTTAAATTGAAACTGTTACAGAGGCAAGTTAAATGATCAGCTGGTGTATAATAATAATAATAGCGGTTTCAGCGTTTATTAGGCCGTAGGCCTGTCGCCGATTCTTAACATCGCAGAAAATTCACAGCATTTTGTGGTCTCGAACTCACAACTCACTGCTACTATTTTGCTTGTCTTAACCGCCCGGCCTCCTCGCCGATTCTGAGCAGAAACTGCCGCACAGAGCTGGGATCGAACCCGCGCCTCTCTGCGCCAATCTTGGTACTCTGAACTGTAACCACTGGGCCACCCTGCCCCGAATATTTATGAATGCAATTATTCTTATTTAATCATGGGCAATTTAAAAATAAGTGGCGCAGAATGGAGGTGTTCGGCATCGCTCGAGTGATCTGTATAGTTCAAAATATGATAGCTACCCAACGGAAATCTTCATGTCGTCTTGGGTTATTGATGAAAAATTTTCACTTTTTACATCAATTTGATATTCTTATTATAGCGCAATGAAAATATTTCTGGAAGTTATGCAGATGGAAACATAGTTTGTTGATAAATACGGAGAATATGATTTTATTTATTTGTTAACGGAAACCTCATCGATAATTTTAGCCCGACCATAAACATTTGCAGCTAATTCATCTGTGGCTCATAGAAATTAATAAAAAATTATCTGTATTTTTCGAAGACCATACCGGCGAGTTCGTGATAATTGAGCTCATCGTGGTCTTATAATAATCAGTGAGATGATATTAAATGATAACGAAGAAAACGAGCATAGGAAAATTCCGAGTGGACGAAAAAAAGTGGAAACTACATTAGAAGTGAAGGCAGGAAACTTCAAGAAAGAATGCCCTGTAATTTTATAAATAAAATATTTTCTAATATGAATAATGGGCTAATGATAGCAGGGGTTAGGACCTAATCTGCGGGAGAGCCAGGGAGTAGCTATGAATGGACTATATACGCGCAGGAGGTTATAGTAAAATATTAGAGTAAATTCGCTAGATGCCACTCTACCTTCGAAAAAATTATAAATAGAACATAGACTTCGCGAAATTTTTCCCACGTTACAGTCATTCCATCGACCCAAATCGCGTGGGAGTATGGCGTTCGCTGCTTATAGTTTAGTTACGGCTCGGAAATTCTTGTGTATTCAGTGGTTGCGATACGGTGGCGCGTACATTCGTTAAAATTTATCTGAAATGCTTCTGATGAAGTGATATATTTTTGAATGTCGCCCACGCGGCGACGCCATTAGGGAAGGCTAATATAGGACCTGCTGATTAATCGGTGGTAGCAAGAAGCACCGATGTTAAAAGTATTGTTTGGCACTTTCGTTGTTAAGTTTCCTTCATAGTTGCCTGCTTTTGTCATAGGTCAATGTAGGCTTAGATAAAAAGTTAACCGCCAGCTTATTTAGGTTTCTTCATTTCCTTGATGTTGATCAATATTAATTAATTTTTTGGGGATGTGCAACAGCGAGTCTAGGAGCTCTAGTTTTTTTGGCATTTCAGCCTCAGGCTGGGAAATGATTTGCTTCAGATTGTTTATTGGTGGAATTTGGTGGAAGAACGTACGATAAATTAGATTATTGAATTAAACCGGATTTTTTCAACTCAGCATTCGAATGTCACTTCATATTAACTCATTAAATCCAGTTATTAATATCGTCAGCTTATTTTTCTATAGTGAATGCTGAGGGAAAGTTGACAGTTGCCTTTTGGATGGCAAGGTTGAAGATGGAATTGTACCGTCAGTGACCCAGTGGTTACAGTTCAGAGTACCAAGATTGGCGCAGAGAGGCGCGGGTTCGATCCCAGCTCTGTGCGCCAGTTTCTGGTCAGAATCGGCAAGGAGGCCGGGCGGTTAAGCACAGCAGAATTGTAGCGGTGAGTTGTGTGTTCGAGACCGCAACAAGCTGTGGATGTTCTGCGATGTTAAGAATCGGCGACAGGCCTACGGCCTACTAAACGCTGAAACCGCTATTATTATTATTTATTATAATAACTTCATCACTGCACTTAAGTTGCCGGCCTTCAATAGAAACCATCTATTTATTATCAAACTTTTGCATATTTCTAGCGCATATTTCTAACGGAAAATGTGAAAACTACAATAGGAGTGAAGGATGGAAACTCCAAGAAAGAATAGCCTACAATTTTATAAATAGAAATATTTTCTAATGAACGAATGTACAATGGACTAATGATAGCAGGGGTTAGGACCTAATCTGCGGGAGAGCCAATGAGTAGCCATGAATGGACTATATACGCGCAGGAGGAATATGGCGAGACTGGAGGTTCGCTGCACGATGATAAGGCACAGGCATGGGCGTCANGCACAGGCATGGGCGTCATTTGTAGCTGATAATCAAGTTAAACCTCTGCGTTTCAGCGCCAGTTTATGAAAGCGTATAGTGAAATATTAGAGTAAAGATGCCACTCTACCTTCAAAAAAATTATAAATAGAACATAGAATTCGCGATATTTTTCCCACGTTACAGTCTCTCCATCGACCCAAAGCGTTCGCTGCTTAGTATCGCTTTCGCTGCTAATAGATTAGTTACGGATCGGAAATTCTTGTGTATTCAGTGGTTGCGATACGGTGGCGCGCACAATCGTTATAAGTATTTACCAATACCAATTTTGACAGATAATTCTATTTTTGAATGTCGCCCCCGCGGCGACGCAATTACTCATGGATACTATGGGTCCGGCACGTGAAAGCCATAACTACCGATGTAGAAATATTATTATTATTAAAATATTGCGATTCAATCAGACTTGAACTCTATTTTGTCGCCCATGCGGCGACGCAATTAGTCAAGGATAATATAGGGCCTGCTGGTTAGCCGGTGATAGCAAGCAGTACCGATGTAAAAAATATTGTTTTCGCACTTTCGTTGTTAAGTTTCCTTTATATTTGCCTGCTTTTGTCATAGGTCAATGTAGGCTTAGATAAAAAATGTTAACCGCCAGCTTATCTAAAGGTTTCTTTATTTCCTTCATGTTGATCATTATTAATCAAATTTTGCTGGAATGTGCGACAGCCAGTCTAGGAGCTCTGTTTTTTTTTTACAAATTGACATTTCAGCTAAGCAGGCTGGGAGGTGATTTGCTTCTGATTGTTTCTTGGTGGACGTTGGTAGAAGAACAACCGATGCCTTTGATTACTGAACTAAACAGAATTTTGTCAACCCTGAATTCGAAGTCACTTCATAATAATTCATTGAATCCATTCATTAGTATCGTCAGCTTATTCTTCTATAGTGAATGGCGTGGGAAACATGACATTTGCCTTATGGAAGACATGGCTGAAGGTGGAATTGTTGCGTTAATACCAATAACTTCACCACTGCACTTAAGTTGCCAGCCTTCAATGGAAGCGATCAATTTTATTAACAAACCTGAGCTTATTTCTAGCGCAATTAAAACAGCATTGTAGTTATCATTTGGTTATCGATCTCTATAAAGCATAGTGCTGACTAATATTTAGTATTATACGGCTTTTAGCGGCGAGGTAAGTGCACTTAGTGCTGGACATGCCCAGTGGCGACTCAAGTATCATTGATGGTAGGAATAAAAGTACCGTATCAGACAATCAGAGTTCATATCTTCAAGATCAATCCACCCTGGTAACTTGGTAATGTAGTGAGTACTATGACTTAGGGTGCTTGAGACCTAGAGTAGAGTGTAGAAAGTAGACTAGCAGAGTATCATGGTCCATTCATGAATAGTCCAGCTGCTCCAGCATATTCATATACTGTAATAACTGTACTCCAAAGCTTGTTTGCAGTGCAGATCAACTGAACCTAGTTAGCCTATTCTGCTCAGCTCTACATAGCCAAACTGCATCTGAGCTTAATTGCCAATGGCCCAATAGTTCAATAAAGGCTTTGCTTAACATAAACAAAATTTGCAACTAATTCTGATATTTCCAAATTTGAGTAACTGCCCTCATGGCATGACTGGAATTTTCCTACTTATTACATACTGGAATTTTGTAGCTCAAAGGTGATATTTTCAATAAATTAAAAATCTCACAGGCCATGCTGCCATGGCTCAATCATGAACTTTTGTTTCCATTTATATAGAAGTTTTTTGTCTAGCAGGAATCTCTGGGCTCCTAAAATGGGGGTAAAGCTCTAGTTGTGGGCTTGTGGCTCCTAAGGAAAAGTATAAATAGTGTCTAGAGCCTTGACCCCGACCAGTATATAACTGTGTATTTAAGTTTCATAATAGGCAATTTCTTTGATATAATTCATGGGTAGAATTGTCTGAAAAATCTATGCTCTGACCTCTCAGTGAGTTGGATGATGCCAGGAAGAATTTTTCCAAGCTGCAGAGGCTATTTGGTAAAAATCTTTGCTAATTCTCTATCAGTTAGGCTAGCAACTTAGCATGATCAACTACTGAACTTTTCTGTTACTTGAACACAATGTCAAATTGTCAAGTGTTGACATATGAAAATGTACAATTTTCTACCAATATTTTTATGATTGATATATGCAATATATAGGTGCCGTAAAATAGATATACTTGAAGGCCACTATGCAGAGTTTGGCAATTGTGTTGCCGAGAGCAGGATTTTAAGCCTTAAGTCAAGTGGCAAAGCAGAGAGTTTTTAGACTTGTCCTCAAGTTCATTTTTGACTCCTATAAGTAGACCAGTAAAGTACCGTAAAATGGGGTTACTTTGACCGGCAGGGTAACTTTGACCACTTTTCGTTTTTTTAACAAAACCCCCAAAACGCAAAAACTATTTGATATAGAAAAATTTTATCAATGGCCATCAAAGGCCTAATCCTGAGGCTACGTAACACAATAGAAAGATTTAAAAAGTTTGCATATCTAATAGGTTAAAAAATTAATAATGTGACCCATGAAAAAGAGCTATTATTTAAAGCCTGTCAGAGTACCCCCTCCAATTTTTTTATTTTTTGGTAAAATAACTCCAGGTTTTGATGCATTGTAGTAGACTCTTCTAGTTACATATGCAAAAGACAAATTTTAGGAAAGTGTCATAGTTTGCAAATGGGGGGCGCTGCCCCCCAATGGGGTAACTTTGACCACCTAATGGCAGCCGTGATGGGGTAACATTGACCGGCTTGGAAATTAAGTTAAAATTACCATAGGTACCTATATAACATGTTTTATGTTTGATACACCTATTAATGTTTTTTTCTTTATGTTTCAGACTCTACAGAGTCTTATATATGGTAATTTTAACTTAATTTCCAAACCGGTCAATGTTACCCCGTCACGGCTGCCATTAGGTGGTCACATTTCGCCCATTGGGGGGTGGCGCCCCCCATTTGCAAACTATGGCACTTTCCTAAAATTTGTCTTTTGCATATGTAACTAGAAGAGTTCTACTACAATGCACCACAACCTGGAGTTATTTGGAGTTATTTTACCAAATAATAACATTGATTTTACCACCCGGTCAAAGAAACCCCAAGAGCTGGGGTAACAAAGACCATCACTTTTTTTGAAATTACATAAAAACTATGAGAGGCAGGAGCCAGCAATTTATGGTGAGAAAAGCTAGAGTATTGACCTGTATTTTTCATGTTTCAATTTAAGTTTAACTTGTCTAGTAAAAAAATGGCATCATTTTGAAAAAAAAGTGGTCAAAGTTACCCCATTTTACGGTATCCTGGATACTACCAGCATTATCAGACACAATAAATTGTTTTAAATCTTGAGTAGATTGGAAATTTAAAATGAACTGATTCTAAAGAATGTCTGGTTTGCCACAATTCCAACTTGATGAAAATGAGTAGGTACTGAATAATAACTACTGATTGAATTGCAAACTTGATTAGCCAAACCCACTAATCACAGACAAGAAATTGGCTGCTGTCTGTACCTGGCTGTTTTTAGTATTAGATGGCAGAATAAGCTTGTATTAACACAGGTGGTTGAAGCCAGAGAATTCACCAACTTGAAGTTTCAGGTTTGAACGATATATATCAGATGATGTTGGTTGATCAAAATGCAGGTTAAGGGGAGTAGGTAATTTTAATTTATTAATGATGTTTTGAATGTTTCATAATACACAACCATTTTTTGAAGCAAAATTTATAGATTACTCCAGATTGTTGGAGAACACTTGCTCCTTTGCTGGGGCTGTTGCTGCAGATAGTTTGGGGTTTGAGGTTGTGGTCAAGGGTGTCACGGAGCCTGTTGAATTCATCACAGGTCTTGAGATGGCTGTTTTATGTACTTAGGTTACTACATGTATTTAGGCCACTATGTGTAATTAGGTTTCCATGTGCACTTGGGGCATTACATCATTTACATGTACTTGGGCTGCTACATGTCCTTAGGTTTTTATGCTCCAGGATTAATTTAAATACTGTACACATCACATAATTTCAAGAGAAATCATTACATTTCCTAACATCCCAGCAAGAGTTGTGCTAATTCTTGTATTGAAATTGACTGTAAAATATAATCTCTGAGAGGACTTATGCACACTTCATCATGGGAATTGTTTTAACTGCAGTAAACACATCTCATAATAATGAGTGGGTCAATATTCCAACCTTTTTCAGTGGCTCATGAATTTCTTGTGGAATATTTTCTCTTGACATTTCATTCATTTCTAGAAATTTACATGCCATAATATACTGTCAACTGGAGCTACTCAGGATGGGCGGGGTAACTCGGGACAGTCCTCCGACATGGCGTTGTAGTGGTTCCCGGTAAGCCTGCACAAATATGCGAGACTATATCTCTTGAGTCCTTGGTCATGGAACAAATACTGAATGTGGTCAGAAGGAGTCACATTCAGGAAAGCATGAAACGTGGAAAACACTAAACAATTTACTACTAATGAAAGACAAAATACAAAATGGCAGATACAAAAATAATTGAATGATACCTAGTCTAACTGAAATGAAACACTAGTGGTGGTGTCAGTTCTGCCCACTTGGGGGTCTGGGTAGAGTGCTCTAATGAGTGGCCCACTGAGGCCTCTCAGCGTTGTAGTTTTGAGTAACTACGAGATGATAGTAAAGTGAAAAATGAAAAAATAGTTATTAACAGCTTTTGCTGCCAGATAATAACAATGTCTTAAACATTAGCCAAGGCTAGCTATGGTTTTACAACCATAAATCAAGTAGTAACAACCCCTGAATAGGCTTCAGGTACAAGCCAAGGAGTGACTGTTGGCAAGGCAGAACTTGACCACTGGTGGAGGGATGGAGATCAATGCTGAGTGGCTTGTGGATCAAGTCACACCCACACTCACATACCACACCCAGGCACACCACACTCACTCCACACTGCACTCACCACCAACACTCTTACCTTATGGCAGGAAGTATGCCCAAAGGGTTGTAGCCATCTTACCATTTGCTGGGCTGTTGGGAGAGCTAATGGTTATCTAGGGCCTAGAGCACACTTTGATAGCGAATGGTATTTTGCAAGCAAATAGAAACAAATAGGTGCCTAGCACAGGAATGCATAAGCAGACTAGGTCACACAATACCTAAATGGTGAACATCAATGAAAGTAAAGCAAGAGAAAGCAAACGGTGATGCAGCTCAAGAATTATTTCTGCAAATCCTACTAATTTTGCACTTTGGATATATTAGCTAGTCAGACTAAAGTTTCAACTACTCTTGACACAACAACATGATTCCCTCACGGATGTATGGGGCATTAATGAGTGGATTATGAAAGACAACTGGTCCTACTAAGTCGCACAAGTCATTAAATATTCTCCTTTACCCCTAGTCACACTAGCATACTAATGGGTAATTATACTCCTAGAAACAACTAGAAAATTGGACCAAGTCACATACCGTCAAACGGGGTAAAAAGGGACGGTTTTGAGCATTTTTTGTTAATAACTTCTTACCATGAAACATTTCAGAAACAAGTTTAGGCTCATTTTATAGCTCTTTGTGAGGGCTATCCAATGGCATCTTCAAAAAAATTCCATATGCTATTTGTAAGGCGCTAGACGCAATATAAAAGGCTCCTGAATTAATCTTGAAATGGGGTAAAAAGGGACACTTGAAATAAAACTCAATTTCAAACATTTGAAGCATGCAGAGTGTACTCATCTATTACTAACAGTACTCTGAAGTCCTCCTCTTTCATTGTAGATGATGTAGATGTAAGATAAATGACATTTTCTGTGATTTTTACTTGTTTTTTCTCTATTGATATGATATTACTCTTATTTATTAATTATTAATATTATTAATGTGATTATATTATAACTTTATATTATATTATAACATTAATAATATTGTTAATAATGTGATATTACTGTGTCCATGGACATGCCATTGAGCATTAACAAGCACCTTGTCCACTGCAAGCTGCATATCAGCAGCCATGTAGCATTTCTCCTGTATCTGTAAGCTTACAAGATGGTTTGTAATTTCATACAATTTTAATCGAGTCAAGTGATTTCACTATAACAAAAAATATTGCGAAAAACATACCTGAAACAGAAAATAATGTTTTAGTGACAACCATCATATGTTTTGAAGAAATAAATCATAGTTTAGGTCAATTACTTTTCATTCTATGATGCCTGGTGCACAATTCTATATATAGCATTCTATATACAATTTTGTGATGACCAATGATGCACTAATTTTTCAATAAGTGAATTTTTTTTTGCCAAGCGAGGTAAATGTAATCAAAATTCTTTGTTGTTAATCAATTTTTTTGTTAACTGGAGCCTTTGCTAACTGAGGTTCCACTGTAAATGCATTTTTAAGGGTGTGCCTAATTACCCCGGGGGGTGTCTCTTTTCACCAAATCGTGCAGAAATGGCTGCCTTTTTTTTAATGAGATGGGCAAATTTTGCCAATTACATTTTCAAGCCAACACCTGGGTGAAACTTTTATGTAAGTAAAATTTTTCAGTACGGCAAATATTTTTTTTGCTCCAGACCTTAGCAGAGGTACTTTTCCAAAATCGCACTTTTTACACTTTTTTTCAGCGATTTTTTAGAGATAGTAAATGTTTGATTTCTTGACTAACTTTATACACAATAGATAGTAAAAATGTTGAAGTTTATGCCACTATTTTTATTTTTGCAATATTTTGATTAGTTTAGCTGCTACAACATTTCTACGAAATGTGGGACACGCGTCCCTATTTACCCCGCCTGTCCCTTTTTACCCCGTTTGACAGTATGTCTGGATTCAAAGTATCTAGGAAAAGCGCAGGGCTCATCAACTTCAAGTTGGTATCCAAATCAAAATTTTGGTTCATAGGTGGAATTTCTTATCTTCTTTCTTGATGGCCAGGAGTTGGTCGAGCGATCTTAGGTTCTCATCAAGAAGAGTGTAGCTCCACACCAACCGCTCCTAAACATCAAATAAATGCGTTCATAAAAACTAGCCTTCTAGAAATATTGACATCAGGAGGATGTTTAAACTGTTTTGTCACACACAAAGTCATCAATGCATGGAAGGGGTTGCAGCAAGTTAGTTATTCAAGGGTGGACATAACATGGTTCAAGTAAGCAAAATGAAAATTGTGCAATAAAGGGACAGGATTAACATGAGAACCAGTGAAAACCATCCTTCATTCTTTATAAACAGGCATGAATGACTGGAAAACATTTGTTAAGAGCTCAGCAAAGACAAATATAAGCATGGCGACATTTTAATGAGATGAAATGAACTGTACTCACCAAAATGGAGTACAGGATGGGATTAGCAAGCAGAGGTGTAGATCAAATCATGCATTAAGGCGTCATAAGCAGGCTATTGAAGGTCAGAAAAAATCGGGTGTGACCAGTGAATTTCCAATTCAGTAACCAAGGGTGCAGACTAACAAAAGTGCATAACTTATGGACTTGCAAGAATCTTGTCTCATTAACTTTTACTCTGCTTAAATATTAAACCAAGGGGAACAAGATACAAGATTAATAAGATGCACATGACACTCAAAAGGTAATGAAGTAAAACAACATGAAATACATTAAGGTACAATTGTGAATGAATGATTCTACTGGATACTATAGCTAATGTTCTGCAGCCCTTTTCAGTGTTCTTTCACTTAGAAGCGAGTCCGCAATGTAGAGAATGACTGCATGACACCTTCCCACGGGACAGTTTATGGGTAACTGAGCTCAAGGCCATCCGACGAGGCTTATATGAGCAGGTTCCGTTAATATTCTAGGTAGGGTTTTGTGAAGGTAACTCATTCAGGATCTGTCGTGAAGGCATAAATCAACATACAGAGGTGATTTTGGCACCATTGGATAAGTCAGAATGCCAGCTTTAAGATGAGCGTAAAAACAGGAGAAGCCGAAAATTATCAATTTTGGACCCAGACGCTCTCCTAAGGGTCTAGTGACTAGCAGCACTTAGGGTCTAGTGACTAGCAGCACTAAGGGTCTAGTGACTAGCAGCACTAAGGGTCTAGTGACTAGCAGCACTAAAGGTCTACGCACTGTGCAGATGGGCGTCAGTTCTTCCTGTGCCCCGAGACAAGCCAGGGAATCTTCCTGAACTTCAGCAAACTCCTGTGCTGCAGACACAACAAACTGCCCTTTGCTGCTGCACAGGTGGGTCATGGTGGTCATAAGTGGGTCATGCTGCAAAGGTGGGTCATGCTTATCACAAGTGGGTTATGTTTATCACAGGTGGGTCAAGCTTGTACGCTTGTGACCCACTTCATCCCCTTCTCACACATTTAGCAGCTCGTCAATTGCGACGGCAAACTAATTTATCAGTCGTAATGCCATAAATGTATTAATTTATTTATATATTAATACAAATGTAATGTACTAATGCCATATGTATCCTGGGGGCAGAGTTTGTTGAGGTCTCAGACAGTCAAGGGGACTGATAGACACAGTGAAGCAATAGTGAAACAATGTTATATAATTATATAATCCATACACAATATTATACATGGCCCGCAGGTGGGCCCAGCGTTTATTATATATACATGGCCCGCAGGTGGGCCCAGCGTTTATTATATATACCTACATGGCCCGCAGGTG